AGCAGCTGATGAAGCGAAATTGGCGCTGAAACAGAATGTATTCTCGTGGACCAGTTTGAAAACGTTGTGTGATCTGGGCACTGGCAACCCGGAGAGCATCTACGCGAGTTTGCTGTCCTCTGTAAATAAGGCACATTCAGCGAACAAAACGACAGCTCCAGAAAGGTATGTGTTTTGGATGGTACTGCAGAAACGGGAAAAATTGCAGTTTTGTTTATGTTTTCGACAAATTTCATGTGGATTTTTTTACAAGAATTTTTTAGCTCGGAAGTGGGAACGCAAAATGCGCAGCAGCAGCAGCAGCAGCAGAGCGATAGCCCTCACAAGAAAACGCAAAGTACTAAAGAGACTGAACCAAAAATAATCCCTCTTCCAACAAAGAAAACTAAAACGGTAATTCTTTTTTTGTGAAAGTTAATAAAGATTAGTTTACTTTTGGTAGAATTTGATTTGGTAGGATTTGAAATAAAGATTAATTTACTTAATTTGATTACCATTTGATCTTTGCAACTTATTTACTATGATTGTTACTAAATCGACTAACAAGACTTTTGGATCAAAAGCAGCTGAGGGAGAGCAAAGATCATCTGTATGTTTGGATACTTGGATCGTCTGTGAACGATAGTCCAGTTTTTATGCGTTTTTTGCACCTATGCAATGCAAAAATGCATGCTGTCGAGGGTTTGTCTGTTTGTGTGTCTATGTCTGTACCTGTGTCTGTATGTGCGTCTGTATCGATTTTTCATCTCGAAACATGAAAAAGCTGCAATGCTGAAACTTTGGCAACTTAATCTACATGCATGTACGGGCCCCTGCCCCCAAAATTGACACTCCTGTCCGCGTGTTTTCAACCTGCGGGCCCGTAAGCTGCCAGCTCAAGAACCTGAAAAGCTGGAAAGCTGAAATTTTAAGGGAGGCCGTTTACGTAGGGCTTGATGAGTTTAAACCCAGCCGGCAGGTTTGCGTGGTTCTCACGTACGAGCATGTGAAAATTTTTTGCAGGTAAGTTCCGAACTCGAGAGCAAAAAAAGCTAGAAAGTTGAAATTTTAAGAGGACGCTATCTGACAGTCCTGACGGCCAGTCTCATTTCTTTTAGCTAGAAGCATCTGCCGAAAAAAACAGTGCCAAAGGCCTGCGGAGACAAAGGCCTGCGGAGAACTATGCAAAAGACGCATCTTCGCACTGTCATTGGTGCACTGGCCAATTGATTCATCTTTCCAAAAGCCTTGGGCAGTACACTATTCGGCCTTCTGGCGATCCCGACATTCGTCCCGGCTTTGACTCATTGTCATTAGCTTAAATCTTAGCAAGATTTTAGCGGCTTCAGGATATATTTGGCGCGCTCGTTAAGCTGTGTCCCGAACGATTTCCTTTT